TATCAGATTCCCGCCTGTCACAGCAGTTCCCTTTTACATCAGGAACCCCCTTCACATCACAGTCCCACAAAAGTTTGAGGCACGCCAGTGTGCCATGGCACCCTGGTTGAGAAAGGCTGGTCAAAGGCCACATGTAGACTTGCAAATGGGGCCAGATCACTGAGCCTCATAAATTCTGTGAGATGCACAATCTCCTGAGGGATGGCAATCCAATGACATCTGCCATGACCTACAGCTGTTTACACATTGCTTGCAGGTAACCGTACATCCTGCGATTACCTATGGATAACCGCACCTAGATGTAGACTGATTGTGTCCAGGAGTGATCGTACCCACAGTGATTACTTGTGAACAGCAGTGGGTGGTGTCAGCCGTCATTGGATTATACAGTGCCCTCTGACTACAAGAGATCACACAAGTCTCAAGAAGTGAGACTCTGATCTGGTCCCATTCGCAGGCCAAGGCCAAAAATGGTAAAGAAAAAAATAAACCCGACTGAAACCATTTGTTAACCTTGTGCAGCCTGAAAACCAAGATAGCAACTAGAGTGACCATTGTCAAAGGCTGCCAAGGTGTGAGGAGTCTTAGTGAACTCCAGATATGCGCCACAGGTCCAAGTAGCCCGAGATATTATTATTATAATACACGATTTATATAGCGCCAACAGTTTGCGCAGCGCTTTACAATTCAAGGAGGGCCCTGCCTGTGAGGGCTTACAATCTAAAAGGGAGGGTCAAGTGATACACGAGGAGGTAGCTGTGTGGGGATGAATTATTTGAGAATGTGATGGTTGAGTGGTTAGGTTGAGGTGGGATAGGCATCCCTGAAGATATGAGTCTTAAGGGATCGCCTAAAGGCAGTGTGGGAGACAGACGGACAGGTTGGGGTAGAGAGTTCTATAGGATGGGAGAGACTCTAGTGAAGTCCTGGAGGAGAGTATGTGAGGAGTTGATGGAGCTGGAAAGCAGAAAGGTCTTTTAAGAGCGGAGGGGACGGTTATGGTGATACTATGAGACCAGGTTTGAGATATAGCTGCGGCAGAGTTGTGGATGGCTTTGTAAGTCATTGTTACTATTTTGAATTTTATCCTTTGGTCTATTGGAAGCCAGTGTAGGGATTGACAGGGGGGGGGGAATCTTCTCGTTAGTGAAGTACGCACCACGTTTCGTATTGCCATATCTCAGAACAAATCGTTTTACACAATTAAAAAAAGGCTCATGGATGTTTTCGGAGGTTTTGCTTGAGTGTAGTAAGATTTCTGAACAAATATCACTCGCACCTACATTTTGTAGCAAAGGTTGACCCTACAATTACTCCATGAACATTAAACAGCCATAAAACATATGTATCTTGATAAGCACATAGCATCATGTTTGACTTCTGGCCGTGCTCTGGTTGCCCAGCAAAAAGCATTGGAAATCTGCCAGCTATTAGCAGCAAGGCCATGCAGTTCATGGCGTCGCTCAACTCCCTCGTGCCATTTACACCTTGTGGTTTGAGTTTTTAATGCTGATTGCTGGACAACCAGAGCGCAGATAGAAGTCAAACATGGTTTTATGCATTTATGAAGGTAAATGTCTTATGTGGCGGTTTAAAGTTCAGTGCGTGATTCTATAGTTTGAGGTCTCCCTACACCATTAAGAAAGAAAAAAAAAAAAAAAAAAAAACACACAACCCCCCCACTATTGTGTCCTGCCAGTCACTGAAGAACTGAACAACCTGCACAAGAGCTAAATACAATTCAACTATCCCTCCATTATCTGTGATAAACATGCATGATAACGCAAGCAAAAACAGATGTACTATACACAGTGAAAAAAAGAACAAAGAAAGTTTGGGTGGAAACATGGTATCGTGTATCAGAGTATGGATACCAGATACTGCTACAGGATATGGGTTGCAGTCCCGCTACGTGCACAACTGTTTGCCCCGATGTCTCATCAACAACCTTTACATTGAAGTGCACCATGCAGCCAGGCCTCAGGGCTTGTTCACACGATTTTCCGGTCCTGATCTGGTGCGGATCTCCAGGACGCGGTGCTCTGCATGCAGTGCGGTTTTTATGCGTTTACCGCGGTTATCGCAGTCCAGACGCTGACAGTTTTTTTTTAATGCCGTGGGGCTGTCAGTATGCAGATTCTTCCTCTGAGGTCACTTCTGCCCTCTCGTAAAAAAAAACACTTCCCTTTGTGTATGTAAAGCTGCTGATCATTTTAATATGTAATTGTTGATGTAAAATGTTTGTTATGTAATCTAAAAAAAAAACAAAACAAGCTAGTGATGAGACATGTATCGCATGTACAGGCACGGTGTTGGTGCTGGCTGCAGCAATCTGCAGAGAACGAGCTCGCAGGAGGTGCCATTATTGGGTACACCTGATCTTGAGGCTCAGGGACTCCAAGGGTCAGTTTTGGAGTTTGAGGATTTGCGAGCTCAATTTTTTTTTTGCTTAGCTGCAGTCCGGTCCGTTTTCATTGCGTTTGTGCGTTTACGGACCGGACAAAATGTGACATGCAGTATTTTTACTGTCGTGACCTGAACGGACTGCACGCGCATGTGAGAACTGTAGCCCATAAAACACATAGGGATACATTGGGATACATTTTTAGTGCAGGAGCGAACGGATCTGGTAAGGACAGAATCCGGACGTCGTGTGAACAGGCCCTCAAGCACTGACATTCCAAGTGCAGAATCCTTGGGCTGAGCATGTGTAGTCAAAATGCTTTCAGATATTAAATGTTGTATATAAAAAAAGACCTTGTGACTGATGGAAGAGCTACCATAAGCACCAGCACACGCCATTTTTAATAACCGGAGCACACAACACGCTTCACGCTAGTGTTTACAAGCACACATTTTTCCAAATAATCAAAAAGTAAATAACTTGCAGCCTTCCAAGCTCCCTCCCAAGTCTGAGGGTTCTGAATAAAGATCCGAATGTAGATGTTGACTGCCGCTTTAAACCAACATTTAACAGGCTTCAGCAAGCATTACATTCCTATAGTCAACCCAAACTGCCCTAAAGACACATTTCTTCATTCTCATAAATCCAGATCCGTGCCTTCATTTTATGGCATCTTGCCTCAATAATACTTCCGCATAAACCCTCTACTGAACCGTTCCCCATACCCCTCTTATCCAAAATTCAGGCCTCCAATGCAAGGCGCGCCTTCTTTACATTGCCCGATTCTCTGCTGCCCCTAGACCTTGTCCGCAAATCTGCACCTACGCTCCCCATCGCCCGCTAATCCACAAGGCACTCTCTCTCCGTCACAGTAGGATAAAGCGCAGGTGGAGGGAGAACATGATACACATGTGGAATTGTGGATGAACAACACAGCAGCTCCACACATTCCTTTTGCAATGGGAGTGCCCGCAATATCCCATCCATGCTAACTTATATGCAGGACGGCGGCGATCACTCAGACTGCTACTTTAGCCAGTGCATTGTGAAAGCCATGGCTGGCCCATCATGGACAAGACTATGAACCCCTCTAGCCCATCATGAAAGGGTTTTGCTTAACTGGTGAAGTTAGGCTCTACCATCTGGATCCCTTGGTGCTACTGCATCCAGTTGCAGGGACCCACTAACCTAGTGACTCAGATGTTCTTTTGCTGGCTGACCCCCATCTGCAATGTCACACAGGCAGTGACATGGACACTTAAAGGAGGACCCCATCAGAAGTAAAACAGAAGACTCCAGACTGGACCATCATGTGGCCGCACTTTTAAGCAAGCAAAAAAGGACAAATTTGGATAATAGCTAGAGATCAGATAGAGGGGGTGGGGTTACTATTAACCCATAGATCAGATTGAAAGGAAGCAGAATTTCTCTACAAACAATCTGGTAATTATTGAAAAGGTTGTTAAAAAAAAAAAGGGACAATAAATCCAGATCATCAGCATTACATCCAGCCACCTGGCAATATCAGAAGGTCAGAATATGTATTTTTATGGTGACACCATTCCACCCTCTAGGAGTATGGGGTGTCACAGTGCAGCTCCCATCCAACATCACGCACAAGTCAGCATGCACACAGTGAAAGCCTGGTTTCCCTACCCATCACCAGGGCAATAGTGTCCATATGGCTCCATGTATGATCAGCTTTAGATCAATACTATGTATCCCAACCCAATAAAGCCGATCATACAGACAGCCCATCACCCTGAGCCAGTACTGAGCCCCATCCTGAGAGGAATGGAGTGCCTCATGTCACATTGATGCCACATGGAAGCAGCGGGTGGAGAGGATGCATTCTTCTAACACTGCCACGGCGTGTCAAAATGGCTGCCATCACCCATGGTGGGCAACAGGTCCACTTTAGAGAGAGGAGGGAAGCCATGGCTATACTCACCCACGGATCGGTAGCCGAGGATGGCGATCTTCCGCGACTTGGGCTGCGGCATCTTTGGCGACTCCACTTTTGTCGTGTTGTTCAGAGCCGGGGGAGCCGCATCCACCGTCACAGCGAAGAAAACTGAAGCGGGCGGGCACCAAACACTCGCTAAACTTCACTAGCTTGTAACCGGCCCCGCACACCGCTTTCCCACCTACGGCCTTGCTCGTTCCTGCGCGTCAGTGGACGTAAGGCGTCAGCTCGGCTTTATATCCCGCCTTCTCTCCTCTTCAGCACGGATTTGTTTTTATTATTCTACCCGCCCTCCTGGCTGTCCTGAATCTCGCAAAACTCGCTGCGTCATCTCCAGCCTCGCACAGCGGCGGGGAACATCCTCATTGGCCAGTTCTTGTGGCAGGGGGAGGGGCAGATGTCAGACCCGCTTTCTCATTGGTCGTAGGCGGTGCTTTTCTGTCAGCGGCCTGGGAAGCACGGAGGAGGAGAGGCGGACGTGGGCTGTCACGCGGTGCAAGGTTCTGTAAGAGATAGAGGAAAACTGAATAGCCACATTCAGAGAAAATGTGTCTTCCGTATTGGGGCAAAGTGGACATGTTATCGGATACCAACATTCTTCCACGCGGCTCGAATAACCGTCGGCAAAATGGCTGCAGCTTAGAGACAAAAGTGTATTTGCTGACGTTCTCTGGTGTTTAGCATTGTCTGCGTTATTGAAGGTTACCATTTTTTGTGTATGTGGTAACACGCTGGGAGTGAAGCGGGGATTCCTCTATACAGGAAATTCCTCTCCTCAGTGGAACAAAGGATAAAGCAGACATATTGCTGCCTGTACCCAGACACAGGGCCAGGCCAATGTTTATGGCCATTAGGAAACAGTTGCTGGAATTAATAAAGAGTGTGATAGATGATACTCTATAGAAATATGTCTGGCAGTAGAGCGACAAATGGCAGAACTTGTGACAGACTGATGTACATGTCAGTGAGGTGTATGTGAATCTGGGGCAGTTATATGTGACAAGCGGTCAGGGAATGAACATTGACAAATGCACCAGTTTTTATATGCCTGCTGCAGGCTCCATTCACACATAGCGGTAGCGTTTTCCGCACGGAAAGAAACCGTGCAAACTTCAACATGCGCTCGGATTGTGCACATTTGTGGCTATCACTATCTCTGCAGGGAGATGATCGGAAAGTGAGCGAGCGACGATATGTGTTCACTCACTTCCCGATCAATAGAGCTGAACTGTGACCGCTTCTTTGTCACACTATAAACACAAATGTATCTTATTTCTCTCCCGTTCATTGAAGGACACAGGGAACAGATCGGAAAGACGTAAGATACATGTTTGTTACTAGTTAAGGTACTTGAATGCATTTTTAAGATTTAATGCCTCAGTTTAGTGTCACTTACGTCTTCTTAGACCGGTCCTTCTAACGTCTCTCCCCCTCCTCTGCAGCAGTCCAAGGTCACGTAAATTATCAATGTCTATACACAGTCTATATAGACAGGAGAACGCTGAGGCAGATTCCAATGCTACAGGGAAGGGGAGGCTGGCTGGAGGGAGTGCTGTGATAGCTGGCCGGCTCGGAGCTTCGGGTGAGTATATCTTTGTTATTGCATCACCTAGACACAAACGAGCACTTAACCTTTGCAATGCAGAGGTAGCCCCACTGCAAGGGTTAATACCCTACCCTGCTGGGATGTTTCTATAGAAGGCATATGATAAGGAGTGGCTTCAATCCAGTGACATAGTTGTCCTGATCACTCAACCTATTGGATAAAGAGCAGGGTAGACTGGCCCTTCTGGATATTTTCCCAGGAGCTCCTCCCCCTGATGCCCCGGGGTCCCAGGCACAACGAAGGATGGAGTGTGGCGGTTGGCTGTTTCCCAGCCACCTAATCATCTCGATCCTCCTCACAATTGGTTTTATCTCAGGCACTGCCTATGCATGACTACTAATTACCGGTCTCCTGAAGAAGCTATAATTTGCGAAACGCATTGGGACTATTAGGACAATCATGTCAGTTATGTACTTGAATAGTGAACATTGAGGACCATTGGGTTAATCATGTCAGTTATGCAATTGGATTATTTATCTTGGATTATTTTGCATTTTTATTGTATGTGTATATAGATATAAACATAGAAGCTATTGGCCTGAGACTGTACTGAATGGGCATATATTTATTGAATGTTTAATTTTTATGAGATCCAATTTTACCTTATTTATCCACAATTTTCTGTATGTCTAGTACATTTTGATATCATTTTTACATAAGCAATGGTTGTAGCTATCTCTCCATAAACCTCTCCATGTAACCTTGCAGGGGTCCTGTGAGGGCTAAATGCTCTTTCTTTTGGCCATCTTTCTTGTTAACCTGGTTTGCTTTTTGTATTGAAAATATTCATAAATAAAACACCTTTAAAAAAATAATATCATAAGCGTGGAGTTGATATTTTTGCAAAAAAATGTATATTTACTTACTGAAAGCCTCTTCCTCATGAATCAGTATTTTGTCTCCACTTTAAATGACTACATGTTCTACCCTTCTCAATAGACACCTTGAGGTGGAATGTAATCCATTCACAAGATTAAAATACTGCATTACGAGCACTAGATAGAGCCGAGGATCAGAGAAAATAAGTATTTTCTTCCCCATGACCCTCAGCTGCATCTAGTTGCCAGAAAAATAATTGTTTTTTATTACACACCAAGATTTTCTAACGCTGCAAAATGTCTGATTTAAGCGCAATAAAACAAACAAAAAACAAGTGAACTTTTACCATGCATGCACGGATCTCACTGTCCTACGTGCCCCACTCTTCAGGATCTGGGGTCTGTACATTCATTGGTACATTTTCATATAAGGAGGTCAGGGGTGTGGAGTTTTTTTTGAGAAACTGCCCCAATCCTTCCAATGTCACCTCTGTAATATCCATCATATTAACGATTATAAGAAAAACACAGTGTAAAACCATATTTCATAATAAAACATGGGTATGTTTTATTAACAAAAAACCTCATTAAAAAGCCATCACTGTTATTTGTTTTTTCTTAACAATCCTGAACAGGAACATTTGCATCTATTGTATATACATATGAAAGGATATATAGCACATAACAAATATTCATTTTGAAATTACTGTTACCAAACCCATGAAATGTTCACCTGTACAATCAAATATCTCATTTTACAGAATGTTCTCAGGTATAGTACTAATGTATAACAAAATTTAAAGCAATTTACTAAAGTGCTAAATTTTCATTTGTAAAACAAGAGTTTTCATTTTTCGCAGTATATTTTATGCTGTACAGTTCATGCTTGCATTGCATATGTCTTATAAATACTCTATTAACATACTAATACTGACATAGAAGAGCAGGTTATATAGATGATAATCTTCTGACAGCTGTACTTTCATATAACAATGTGTCCCCCCCTCCCCATTAGATACTATGCAAAACATCAGACCTCAGATGCAGCACAGTCCCCCTCTACACTGCCATTTCGACTTTTCATTTCCTTCTCAGTGCCCGTACTACAGAGTGCAGTGAGTGAACATGCTACATAGTGATAAATGGGACAGCCAAGTTTGGCTTACCCCTTCATCTCTATAGAGCAAGAATATATGCGCAGAAGAGACACGCAAAGTCTCTTTTGCCAAAAATGTCTTCCTCTCTCCCCGAGTGAGTTGTTTCTGTATGATGTGCCGTGCAGTGTACACATTCCCTAAGGTGTCATGGATGGGCCTGATGCCAGGGAGGATGCAACTCCTGAGCAAAATAGCCGATGGCTGAAGAGGATGGCTGGGAACCCACAAGTATCGGCAGCAGAGATAGCGGTGGCGGCGGGGGACAGAGCCATGGCCCAAAGATCGATCTGACAGAGCTGGAGAAGATCACACTGTGTGTGCCCCAATGTGCAAGTACGTTGTGCGGATTTTTGCCCTAATGCATACTTGCTCATTGGGGCAAAACCCCCCAAAGCGGTTTACTTCCGATAGAACAGCCAAAAGCCAGGCGGTGTAGAGCAGAACCGCGCTGTATCTAGGTTCTGATGTTTTGCATACTATCTCACTTAGAAAGATGTTTATTTAAATGTACAACTGCACTTTATCAGGGCAAAATTGTTTGTTGCCAGTTTCCAGAAATGAGGAAAAAATAAGATTTTACTGGTTCATCCGATAATGTTTGGATTAGTGATGGGGAAGTTGTAGGAGATCGGTAACGCTCCCATGTTTAAAATGCCATCCATGAATCTAGGAAATGATACAATTCCCT